AAATTTCATGCCTCAGAGTTATAGGATATTCCTCTAGATTTTAGAGTATCTTCTTGAGACCGTATTTCATAGGAAAATCCTTTAAAATCAAGAGGGAACCACTCAAAAATAGAATACTTTTTTTTGGGTGTCGAAGAAGTAAAGCTTTCGCAAATGAACTCGAAAAATGTCCACGATTAATTTGGATGTAAATCAAATGGAAACGAGAACGTCAAATTATTACTTAGGTCCGAGCAAGAGGAGCTACCTTCACTTTGCGTTCTCGTTTCCACTTGATTTATGTCGTAAAGGACCTGAACTAACTTTATTTGTTTCCTTTGGATGTTGTTAGAAATAAATTGTACGAATATATTTATATTAGCAAGCGCTTGATCAAGATGAGGATAAATGTTTGTTTCGCGTACGATTTTTCTAACTAACGATAAGCTACCAAATTTAGGCGCGCCTTCGAGAATATTTACAAGCTGCTGCAGCCAAATGGAAAAGCACTTGTGATGTTTGCGGGATACCATTGCGGGTTTAATGCGTACTTACTGCTGAAGCAGAATCCACGATACGAATCTTATCTCGAGGTACTAATGGCTGAAATAGCTGTAACGCACAATAATGTAAAAATTAAAGTCAAATGCCTCTGTGTTCGTTTCTTCAAAGGATGCGCGCCGTTATGTGCCATATTTTCAAAGAAGGAAGTGTAAAGATATCAGAGCGAGCCTACGAAAGATGTTGGAGACCGTTGGCTTTGAAATTCTGCACTGCAGCAAAAGGGAGAAAAGTTTCCAGTACAGTAGACAGAGTCTCAAAAGTAAGATACTGAATGATAAGACAAGTTATTGTCTATCTGTAGAAAACGCATAAGAATAAATTAAATTGTTAATAGTCGCGACTGAATTCAGATTCTTCGTCTCTTCACTGAGAGGTCCATTTTGTTGAATGAAACGAAATAATTTGATTGAATTATTTTATTGACTGAACATGTAATTTGGTTGTATGAAACGAAAAATATGTTGTTGAAAAAAGTGAAATGTTACAACAACTAACTATTTTGTGTCTATGAGTTGTTTATCTGAACAAAACTTTATGGTTGAGATAACAAACTCGTCTATCTAATCACGTCCTAAATAATTGTGCTTGTTGCGTGAACTAAATCGTTCAGTTGAATATTACAAGAGGATTCTGCGCATGTTCACTCAACCAAATATGTGTGTTTGATATAACCAAATTTTCCAACAAAATTTTTTTCGTTGTATCAACTGAAAGATTTGTTTGCACATATCCAAACAAGCAATTCAGTTGAGTCCACTAAATTTTGTTTCATTCAACAAAATGTGTCTCTCGGTGCTCGTTTGTTCAAGTTGAAATCATATTGTACTTTTTGCAGGCCATGTGTACGCCATTAATCCTTTCATCAAGAGAATACCCGATGATCTGAAAGACGAATTCATAGATCATCTGATGAGCGAAATAATAAACCAGACTGATTTTATCCCACTGAAAAGCGAAAACAGCCAAGAAGAACGTATAATGATGCGATATGACCTGCTAATAGCATATGTACAAAAACCGTCGCCTGTTGCTTAAGGGTGTATTTGAAATATACATTTTTCGATAATTCTAATTGTTCGTAAAATTACCTGTACCAAATAATGAAATGCAGAATAAAGACGTTCAAGCAATTATATTACGTGAACTTGTACAAGATTATCCGTAAAATGTCGTATTAAAAAAAAATTTCCAATTGTACTCTATGTCTATTTAAAAAAGGACTATCTGACAGAGCACTTCTAATCCAACGCAAATATATGGCTTTAAGATGTTAGGCCATCTTGAACGGGTCAAAATTAATGTCATTTTTGTTGATTTTTTAAGAAATATAACAAAATATATACAAAAGTCAAATGTGGGTATGTATTTAACATGTCTTTAAGGTAAAAAAAAATATTTTTTGGTTTACTTTTTATGTAAAATAGAGGCAGTAAAACCGAGACACCATAACTACTTTTTCGTCAGCGCCCATACAGCACAAACCTTGTAGTTACACTGCAATAACATTGCTACAATATTGCAACATTGCTGTAATGTAAGCTGCAACGTAACTACAAGAGTGCGAATCGCCAGTAGTTGATTAGCAGTAAGAAGAATTGTTACACGACTTTGGCTGGCAGATGTTTTATTTTATTCCGACGTTTCGACCATGCGGGTTGTGGTCCTTTTTAAGGAGTTAGAGAATAAATATTATGTCATCTATATTGGGCGTCTTTTGGGGAACTATGTTTGAAGGCACGTCCGTTCAATTCAACGACAAGGCAGTCCTACCTTGGTCGCCCAATATAGATGACATAATACTTATTATCTAATTCCTTGAAAAAGACCACAACCCGCATGGTCGAAACGTCGGAATAAAATAAAACATCTGTCAGCCAAAGTCGTGTAACAATTCTTCTTACTGGTAACTACAAGATTTGTGCTGTATGAGCGGTGGACAACCTCACGGCTACACCTTTGGACCTAAGAAAAAAACCAAAAATATTTATTAACTAGACACTAGAAACTAGAGAAATACATACGGATTTTGCAATATATCAAAAACTTATTCTGCAGTTAATATTTTTACACAAAATTTTTGGGCCAAAAAATGAATTTTGTGTTCCTACATCTGCCAATTCTACAAAAATCAATATTTTGATAAATCCATATGTATTTCTCTAGTTTCTAGTATCTAGATAATAAAAATTTTTGGTTTTTGTCTTAGGTCTAAAGATGTAGCCGTGAGGTTGTCCACCGCTGAGCGCGTCAACGAAAGAGGAGTTTCGATGTCTCGGCTTTACCGCCTCCCTTTTACATAAAAAATAAACAAAAAAATATTTCTCTTTACCTTAAAGACATGTTGAATACATACCTACTTTTGAATTTTGTATATATGTATTTTGTTATGTTTCTAAAAAAATTAATGAAAATGACACTGATTTCGACAAGGTGGCCCTTGATCTGATCTGACGACGACAAAATTATTACAATTTTATAAGGATGTTGATTATCGCATTTGTTGTTTTTACGTATCGTAAAAAAGCAAACAAATAAACAATAATAATTGAAAACGTGCCGACACAGTTTACCTGCCATCGTCGACTTCTCTCTGAACCAAATGTTATTTTACGAACCGCCCGGCCGTAAAAATGATAAAAGGAGGGAAGAACAAATACGCTGCCACTTTCGACATCTTGCCTCCTACAACACTAAACTTTAGGTATATATTGTACGCTATATCTTTGATTTTACAATAGTACAGCCATTTATAGAATATCGTTATTATAACTTACGGATCATGTCGTACGGATACAAGAGTGGGCGTTACGGTATCGATATTCGCACAGCGGGTAACAATACTTCTAGCTCTGTTCTCTAAAAAAGACACCCAGGCTTACAAATAGTCTTGAAGCCGCTGACATCGATCGTGTTTGTCATCCGGCGCGGCGTCTCTCGGACGAGTACGACTGTCCTCGCGCCTCGATAGGACTTTGCACAGCGGGTTCGCATTAATCTTCCCGCAATGTCCACGACATAATTAATCTCGGCGATGATCACGAAATTCCTCCCCGGCACTCGTTCTAAAGAGTGCGAGCGGTCGTACTTGGAGCGACGCGGCGCGCGGCGATCCATCGGAATGGATTCGAGGCGGTCCAAGCCTACCATTGTGTGCCACGAAATATCCTCCGTTCGAAATTTCTCCCGGGTTCATTTGCAAGCTATTTTCCAGTTGCGTCGCAAGTGTGACCCTTCCGTCGGCCTCCCGCATAATTCATAAATCGCCGTGCGAAAACAAAGTCGGAGGGACAATCGTCGCTGTGGAACTGGCGCGCGGCGCGGAAGAGGATCCTCGGCTGAGCGTGAATTTTATTATTGCACCGGCGTAGTCTCGATACTTAAATCGAGCGCTAACAAGCGACGCCGTAGTTAATCACAACGGAAGATGTATTTTAAACACCCGCCGCGCGCAACGTATTTCCGTCTCATGCTCCTGTGAACGTAATCGATAACGCGAAGACTTTTTTTTCCAAGCTCTCAGTATATTCTAGTTGTGCCGGGACCTTCCGCAAATATCCGCCTATTTCCCACATTACGAACGAGGACATCACCTGTCACAGCAGCCCACCACGAACCGCCGTACGGTGTACGCGATTCCTGGTTGGTACAGAGCACGTAACAAATGCGCTCTCGCGAGCTCGAGCAGTGTTATCTTTATAATAATTGCGAGAGTCGTAAAGCATCGGATCCGATGAGCGTCAATCCGCAAATCTCACCGCTTTGACCATGGGAGTTAGACTTTATGGGCGATAATGTCGTAAAATTCCAAAATGTAGATTATGTAATACGCGTTACTACACCGAGAGACCACATTTTGTTGAATGAAACGAAATAATTCGATTGAATCGTTTTGTTGCCTGAGCATGCAATTTGGTTGTATAAAACGAGAGACATGTTGGTAAAAAGAAGCTAAATGTTACAACTATTTTGTTTCCATGAGTTGTTTATCTGAACAAAACTTTATGGTTGAGATAACAAATTCGTCCATCTCATCACGTCCTAAATAATTGTGCCTGTTGCGTGAACTAAATCGTTTAGTCGAATATTAAAAAAGAATTCGGCGCATGTTCACTCAACCAAATTTGTGTGTTAGACCAAATTTTCCAGCTAAATCTTTTTGTATATCAACTGAAAGATTTGCCTGCCAATATCCAAATAAGAAATTCAGTTGAGTCGACTAAATTTTGTTTCATTCAACAAAATGGGTCTCCCAGTGTACGCATTTTATCTCGGTTCGCAGAGCGAGAGCCGCGTTAACCGGGAACAATTGCGAACGTTTATGTTAGATCGTCTAAGGTACGTTTCGAGAGCAAGATTTGCGAGAGTCTGCAATCCGGATGCCATGCAATTAGTTTATCTTTAATTATTATCTAGCTCTGGATAGTCTTAAGAATGTCGACATTGCAAGAGTTATTCAGTGTACATTTATCGATTACGAGCTAATGCCGTAAATGGTAAAATGACAGTGAGTAAGTAACGTTTCCTTCGTGTATCGATCACTTGGTAGTCTCTTATTTCGTAGAAAGGACATCGAACATCAAATACGATTATTTAGAAAAAGAGGGATTATACCTGGATATACAGAACAGCGAAGGATGATCGAGGGCAAGGCACAAGTGAGTCAGAGAGAGGAGAAATTAGTTTTGGATGAAATTAATATACTCTACGCCTCAATCGTTTTCCCATTACGTACTTTTCGTCGCGATTAAGATCGGTGCGTCGCGAGATATACACATACACACACGCACACACATATATATGTATATTATGTAATCAGACACCATCGACATAATTAATCGACAACTATTGTTAAGAGCGGGACAAACATCTTATTTCTATCGATACTGCCTCGCCCATGTTTATCTCTCGGCACGGCGCGATTAATAATTCATATACCTTTACATCTTTCAAACCCCGAAAATCGGATAAGCATTCCGAGTCCCCGCTGAAAAGAATAATTTGGAAGACGTAAAAGTTGAATGCGAGAAACATCATGTGACACCTCGAGTCGTGCTGCGTAGAAGCACGGGGAAGACCGGAAATACGGGACTCACGAAACGTTAGAGATGTGGAATGTAGCTGTTTTCTTTTTTAAATAAAATCAAAGCGTCTAGATGGAAAATCAAGACTCGTCAGGAGTCACGCAGGATCAATTCATTCGTAAATATTAGTCACTTATAAAACTGCGCGTATATAGAAAGATCTATAGAAAAGCACGGGGGAAGCCAGCGGGAGAAACAAATCTACGAGAACTTATTTTCTTCCACGGGGAATTAGTAAAATCTACAGAACGAAGGTCTCTAGAAAAGCTCTCGTTTCAGCAAACTGCGGAAAAAGAGGTCTGCGAGTACCCATAGAAATAAGATCTCGGTTCAAAAATTGCATTGCTTCACCCTACCGACGCTTCGTTAATCAGCGCGCGAGGAATCGCTAACGTGACGAAAGAGCATAACCGAAATCGCTTAATTCTCGACAGCGTTTCCTCCTTCGAGTCTTCCGTCACGCGTCCTATGTGCGGCGAAAATACGCGCCGTGTATTCGAGAGCCACGCTTTACTATAAGTTCACGCTTACCGCGGTAGAGAGACACCGCGAATAGAATACATTAATTACGCGTTTAAGACCGTTGCTGCTTAGGTACTTTCATAGTGGGATGTTAGTCTCGTTGGATTTAGCACGGATGAAATGCACGTAATCGAAATGCGACACGCGCGGCGAAAAATCACAAGATTAAGCTTATCGTAGACGCGAACGGGGAACACGAAAACAATAAAAAACGCAAGTAATTTAGTTGCGGTTGCTGGAAATCGGTCATCATTATGCATAATCGAATCACGCTGCCTAATTACGTTTAACATTGTTGCAAGCTACTAAATAATCTCGCTTCCGATTAACGTTAACAATTACACGGAAATGATGATTCCGTACTAATTCACACTATTAATATTATCTGATCGATATCTACTAAATTAATATAACGTAAATGGAAACAGGGAGGGCGAAGGGAACAAACGGGAGATAAGATGCGAAATTAAAACAAATTGTGAACACAATAAATCGTTATAATTTCTCGTCGTTATTTACAAAAAAAAAAGGAAACGAAAGGGTACGACCGACGAGTCGAACGGGACCGATCGTCGAACAAAGGAAAGAGACGTACCCTTGGAATCACTGATGCCTTCCCACATGAATTTGCGCACATGTCAACACATTAATACATTTTGCATATACACGCACGAAAAATGTATGTGTTCCACGTGCCTAAATTCATATGGGAAGGCAACGGTGATTCCTAGTGTGCAGCTGAGAAAAATACAATGAAAATTTAACGAAACGCGTTACGAAGCGGTAAAGGTATCGACCTGGACGAGACCCGGATCGAACGCGAGCAACGTGGTCGGGCGCGAAGGGCCGGTACGCTAAGTATAACGAGATTCGGCGCGGCACGTCGTCGTTCGTGTCGCCGCGACTAAAGCTAAGGAGGGAAGACGAAATCATTTTGTACGGGACGCGACTACTCTCGGTACAAAGTGGATAACGTATACGTCTGTATATATGCCGTGCTCCGCCACGTGGTGCAACGCCGTCGGGGGCGCCGCGTTATCGATCGCTACCGCGTTACAATCGTCGACGAGTTTGCTTTCTTTTCCACCTTGCCCTCTTCGCGGTTTTTCTTCTCTTCTTACCGCCCACCGCGTTCCTCCCCTTTTGTTTTATCATTGCAAAATTTGCCAACAAGCGTCGCAATCAAACGACCCTACGACGCTACGTTACAAGCTCTCGATCGCGAAGCGGAATACGGGATCGTTGAACGTAAGATTCGCGCTGTGCTTCATGTTCCTTCTTTTTTTTTGCTCGCAGTATACGTTCGCATCCCGCTGAATCAGGATGCTATCGATCGCTAAAGGTATACACGTAGACGTGCAGCGTTGTAAGGCGAGGTTTCTCAGGGTGGAGTTCACCGTCAACTCGGACCAGCAACGCAGATTTGCTGTCTATTGAGTATCGTCGTTGCACCATATTTACACATACATCGAATTTATTCTACTTCATTGTCGGTTGAGAATTGGCGATTACGTCGCTGCTAAAATTGATAGACGATCAAAAAAAAAAACAGCGGCGGCGGAGGCGGCTACGCAGCGATAGAATCCTAATGTCTTCGTAATGTCGGTGCAGCCTAATCTTGACCGCCAGAATATTACATCTCTTGTGAGCGCTTGAGAGAACAGATTGTATATAGATATATATATACTATATGTATATGTGCTTTCTTCGTAGACATATCCGTCGAAAGATTTTTCGCTGTCTTCGATACGAGTGGATCGAAGAGGGACGCAACGTCGAGGACAATAGTACGGTCAGGTACGAAGAATCGTTGTTAAGGAGATCCTTACTACACACGGTGAGCACGAGGGACGCGACGCTACGAGTGGGACGCGATAAACACGGATAAGAGTAGGCGAAAGATCTCGCGGATGAGTCTGCTGCGGGTAGACGATCTAACGCTCAAGTTCCTCGACAGCGGCGGACGTTTTAGACGCCCCCTCCAATTTGAACCTCGGGACTTAAAGCGGCAAGTGCAATTATCTTCTGAGAGAACGGAACGATACAACAAGCTGAGCCGAAGTCACTACGATTGTAGGCCGTTTCAAATCCTTTGTATTACGTATAATATACATCTGCGAACCTTCGCGGTTACTCTAGAACGACAGACACGTCCGTTACGGGGATCCTCGGCGTAGCTCGACATGTTCTATAAATATCTATTTGGCAAACCTTAGGTGTAGCCGGCACCGCCCACTAGAGTCGACCACCTTGACGTTAAACACCGGTTGAGAGATTCTAGAGCTGATAATGAGAGCGATTCTCGAATCAGAGGTCCTTCAATAGAAGCAATGTCCAAGGGAAAAAAAAGGCTAACGCCAGAGTGGTCAAGACAGATAAGATCGCAGGTACAAATTGATAACATCGTGACGCGCGCATCAATCGATGCTGCGATTAATTAACAATCCGTCCGCGAACGTGTTCGTCGTAGCGTAGAGAACTCTTATTCTGCTGTAGTTCTTATATTAACAACGATTACGTTAGCGCTACCATTTTTCTTTTCACGGCTATCCTACGATTAACAACATCAACAACAACAACACATATAATATATCAACGTGAATATATATAATATATTATATCTATATCCCGTTAGTCACTAAACTTATCTTATGTACACACGCATGTGTGTGTAACGTACATACGCGCGTACATATGTACATTACACGAATGTAGGAGAAGAGCGATCGTGTCCCAAGCAAGTATGTGCGACATCCATCCACATACAAGTGCGCGGGAAAAGATCTCCGACAAAATACACACAGCGGCTTGATCTGAACTAGTCGAAGGACATAAATGCATAGGTAAATCACACTATACGCGAAACGACTGCAATCGAGGAATTGGATGCGACAGCAGCGTAAATGGCTTCGTTTAGAAATAGATGTAACGCAAACTTCGGAAGAAAACAGGTTGATAGTTTACGTAATTTGACAAGGGCGACGATAACAAACGTTATCCATAAAATATAATATTTTGATATAACGCACGAGTATAATAATATCAGGATGCAATGTACAATTGTATAAAGAATAGCAGCGTGAATTCGACTTCCAACTCCTCAATTGACAAGGATAACAAAGCTAAAACTCGGATAAATACCGTTGGAACACAAGGAAAATCTATACAGGAAATATGCATTCCGTTTGCTCACTCTTATCGCTTATATCCCAATTATTTCGCACATGTCGTTTCAATATCGTCGTCAACCTCAACATGATAATGTAACTTAGTTAGCGTAGTTAACGAAAATATATCAAAAGAGATTGCACGCTTCAATGCCGTAACCGACAAAGTCAATTATCTCTATATACGTATATATTAATATCGCAAGCTCGAAAACGTCCATTACAATTCGCAAATTCGCAAAACGCTCGTACTAAACTCTGCTTCATTACGGAGAGGTGAAACATCGAAAAACTTACATGTAACAAATAAATTCATTACCGCGTTCGGGATAAAAAAAAAGTACCCTGAATTAAATATCAGAACACCGGAAAAAACAAATATCAATGCGTGACGATAGAAATTCAGTGTATCCTGTACCGTAGAATTTACGCATTGCGTTACGCATCTAATCGATTTCTTCCGTTGTTATATCGCCACGGGAGTTGCCCGAGATGCCGCAGAGAATGCGTACTTTTATCCAACGTGGCATCTACCCAATTTTGCAAAGACTTGATGTCCACACATATTGATCTCTTCGCCGTACATTCCGAGCATATCGGTCAGAAGAGTTAAACGCATTGCGCTAAATATACATATAATATCGTTCATATTATCCTTATTACAATTATCTACGATCACCCGTGCCCGGATAAAATCAGTCACGTTCGCTACGATACAAGCTACAACCTCATGAATAATCGGTAACTTGAAAAACAAAATTGCTATCGCGATAATGAACGTCGACTAAGAAATGGTAACTCTGCGTACTTTGTCGAAATAAAATATGAAATACATATATCAGCTACTCTCTCTCTTTCTCCCTGTTTCTCTCTCTTTTCTTTCCGTGAAAGACGCCGCAGCGACTGTTCAAAAGTGAACTAAATGCCATACGTTTTGTCTATCGCAAACGAAATCTTACTAAATCTGAGGGAGGTGCACGGGATATAACTTTGAGATTCTTAAGTTTACGGGATGCACTATCGTTTGCAATAATAAATGCGTATGTCTTAGTTGCTCTTCCAGTTTTTCTCTGCTTGTTAGAATTCACGCCATAATCGCGAGTGATTCGACGGTGTTGCGAACAATAGTGTACAGAGAGAACAGAATTAATAGACTGTGACAAATGGCCATTGACTATTGGTGCACACGATGGCAAAATTATAAAACTGATATCTATAAAACATATACAAATTAAATAGTATAATTATAAAATTTTGATTAAGTTTGTAGAAATAATATCATATCTCCTCATATTACATCAAAATGTAATTTCGAAGAATTAAAAACACTGAATAAAAGATTGTAAGCTCGACAAAATTGTAAAACAATGCAGACATACAAAAAGAAGAAAATAAAAAATAAAAATTTTTTTAATTTCTACTTTTATATGTGTTTATAAAATTGAGATGAACATATATTCTTTGTGCTTTGAGAAGCTCGATGTAAAATATAACGTCGAAATATAATTCGTATCGAGATTCGTTCAAGTTTGCAACTGTACTTTCATATCTGTGCGCATGCATTCTTATTGGAAAACTATAATAATCGATCAGATCAAAGTACGACTCTTTCGATATAAGTACACGCAACGAAAGAATGTACTTAAATTCATAGCTGCAACGCATAAAAAAAAGTCTAAATTTCGAAAACACTAACTGCCAAGAGATAGCTTGTGCTGTGTGCAATGTGTACTGGATCGCGAATGCGTTAACAATTTTCTGCCCAACTATCTGCCAAATATTTAACAACAGAGAAACTTACGAAAGAGATAGTGCAGTCTCTAGATTGAAATAAAGAACGCAATTCTTCGATGAGCATAAAATATGAATAAGAGAAATTGTGGCAATAAGATAGCAAGTGTGTGTTCTACTTAAATGTAGATGCAATTATATATCCCTGAAAAACGTTTTTCTTTTCTTCTCTCTCTCTCTCTCTCTTTGATTCGATCATCTTTACTCGATGCGACTATCGCCAAGCAGATACACCCCGCGTACCTCTGCTTTTCTGCTTTTACTAAATCAACACGTTAAATAAATAACAAATTTATACACGATGTAGATTTGATGACGGGATAAGTTTTAATCCTAAGTTCGTTATTACTACGAAGAATCCCTTCAGATACCTGTGTATACGTATCGTAGCGCGTAGCCTAAAATATCGTACAATTAGAAACAACAAGGACAATGTTACGTCGTAACATTTTTGATTGTCTTCCTCAAAGAGGTCTGCCCGACCGGAATCGCTCTACACAATGGGATACCAGGACACTCTCGTGCCTCCGGTAGGACAGTGTCTCAGTACTTTCGCGGTGCGGGCATCCCCAGAAAAAAAATTTTATTTTATACGGAGTACTTTCAGTCAAAAATATATCAGATCACTCGCGCGTTCGTGCAGACTTCTCTCAACATTTTCCAATGTTTCTCCTCTAGGCCAAAGAGATTTCATCCTCTCTCAGTATACTTGTTACATTATTCTGACTGGAATCTCCTGAGATCTGATCTTTTTAATAATCGAAGACCAATCTAAACGGAGCATCTTGGAACGCGATTAGACTTAGTTTATATAGTCGATTAAATAACGATGCCTTATGCATATAACAACAATATTAAATGTTAGCACTTAGGAAGGTTTGTTGTATTATTTTTCCTTATTTAGAATTATATATATATATGTACCTCTCTCGTGCGTATTTCTCGCGAACGATCTTAATGCTTCGTTAAGATCATGCAAATATGTAATCGACTGTCACGTCAGCGACTATCATAGATCCCGGAATCTCTCAAACTGCTTAATACTGTGTGCAAATAATGCGGAACTCGCATTTCTCACTGAAGTCTGCTGACATTATCTCTTTCTCTCTTTCGCGTTACTAAGCAGATATTTTATCGTAAAGAGATCAAGACGTAGGCGTGAGACACAATCGATTGAGAAATCGACCGGCATACACGATCAACGCTCATCAGTCGAATAATGATCATCATAGTAAAAGACAGCGTTGAAGTAATAGAAAATTACCTCGATCCACATTATTCGACATCTAATTTCCTTGAAGTATTAAATGGTAAAAGATCAGTATATATATATATGTATGTACACAATTGTACCGTAATACATAATAGTCAAGACGTTAACTCGTGCCTCGTGGCACCGAGCTGCCTGAAATCACGTCATCTCTCGTCACAACACCATCACGGTGTCAACATCCCCGGCGAGATGGCAAGAACGTTTTATCGTCGCCAAGCAGCTGTAGATAAGCGCTACATGCCAACGTTCCGTTAGTCGTTATTGATTCGTTTTCTCGTACATGTGTCGGGAAGATATTGCGTCCGAGTAACATCTATTTCTCTCCCCTTCCCCATCGCGTATCTCTCGTTGCAGAATTCAGACTGCGATTCGCGTTTGGCGCACCAGATTGCATAACTGGATGCTTTGGACGACGCGTACAATGGCACGAGACACGGACATCCATGGATCGATGCCGCGTCCTTAATTAACACACAGCTAGACAACTCGTTTCGCGAGTCAATATGTATTCTCGCTAAGCGACTCGGGCAAGCTGGCTCCGCCAGACGGTGACAGGGGTAACTCACCGCTTTCGTATTTGCTGTAGCGGCTACTGTACTCCGCCAGCAAGTTAGCTTTCACCTGTCATACATTAAAATATATTTTAAAAAAAATTTTTTATATTACGAGTAAAATGGTATATTATTCGTTACACTAGGATGCGAACCTTGGCTCGCTCCTCTTCCAGCCTTTGCCGCACTTCCTCGTGCTGCCTCTCCAACTCAGCTCTCTTCTTGTCGAAAATTTTCGTCAAGCGCGTACATTCGTTCACGCCTTTCTCCACCGTCGATTTTGCGACTTCGCGTTTTATACGTTCCAGTTCGGCTTTGTCTTTGTGCACCTTGGCCAATTGTTTGACCTAAAGCGACAAAATATATACAGCGATTCCGTTACTTCGTACATTTCATTGTGTAGAGAAGTAATGTAAGGATAAGTACCTCCCCTTGTCTCGTAGCCTGCAGTTTTCGCTTAACGTCCGCGGTCTCTCTGTTTAGAAGCTCCTGAAGCATTTTCAATTGATTCGACTGCGATGCTCTCATCACTTTCTCGACAGTCGTAAAGAGGTTCTCGTAATACTTTTCTTGAAGCTCACGTTCCTGTTGAACGTGCGCCTTACACACGGCTAAAAATCGTTCGCTTTGACTTCTGGGCAAGCCCCTGGTACCATCGTTCCCCTCGCGAGTCTCCGCGTTCTCCGGACATTCGGAGGTCTCGCCTATGGCCAAGGTGCTTAAACCCCCTTCACTCGAAAAACTGCTTAAAAATGATGCGACTCAATATTGTAGCAATTTCCGTCATATCGTTCTCTTATACTTACATATTTTTACTCGACAGTCGCTTCACCAGTCTGTTGCTCATGTAGAACTTCGATCTGTGCTTCTCGCCGTCAAACGAGGCTTTCTGCGACTGCAACCGCATTTTCTCCTTCTCGTGCTTCTTCCTCAGGGATTCAAGTTTCTTCTCGAGTTCCAGCTTCTTCTCCCTGACCAGCTTGTTCTCCATGAGTTTTTCCAAACTTTCGGCTACTATTTCGTCACTTACTGTAACAGAGAAGAGAGTTGCCAAATTATAATACAAACTAAAAAAAAAACAGAGAGAAATAATATATCTCTAATAAGAAAAATTAAGAAATAAAAGCACTCACTATTGCTAGCATTGACTGGGCTTTTATTTATAGACGTATCGACTGATTGAACTGCAGAAGAGGGAGTATCGTCGTCCATATCCACCGTGTCCGAACTACCTAAGCCGCCGATAGATGGTCTACCATGTAAGCTACTGGAAGTTGATAAAAGGCTTGGCAACTCGCCCACGGACTGTAACCGTTTAGCTTTTACAACTTCCTCCTACAAAAATAACATTGTTATTGATATATTACGCGAACGTCAAACCATGCGAAAAAACTTACAGCTGGTTTAGCAGTGCTGGGAGTATCGCCAACTTTACTTTTATCCTACAAAATGTTAGTAATGTTAGTCAGAATTTGGAGCAGTTAAACTATTAGGAAGGAAAAGGATTTGTAAATCGTTCTAGCAACATTTTAGGCCGTACCTCGATTTCTTCCGGTTCTTCCAAGCAATCTGTAAGAACCAGCAACTGGTTCTCTCGCTTCTCCACTTCGCTCTGATATTTAATAGGATTCGCTAAAGCTTCGGCAAGCTCGCTCAAACCGTCAGGAACGTAATCCTTCACGATAACGTGTAAAAACAGACTGGCTAATGGTAACGGTTGCCCGCACTCTGTTCTTAACGCTACGTGTCTGTACCCTGGGCATAATCCGACTACGGGAAGTACCCTGTGACCGATTAAACGTCCAGATTCTTCATACGCCGCTATCCTTAGCGAGGCAAGTTCCGGCAAAACTACCTGAGGAATGCATAAACAGCACATTATAAATATTTTTTTTTAGAAAAACTTAGAGATTTATGCAAATACTAGCGTTTTACCTTCTTGAATACAAACGGCTCTTCGTCGTATATGGGATTAATACCGTTATTCGGTACGATTTTTGTGCGAAATCTCTTCCTTACGGTATCCGCTGGTAAGCCGTACATATCGACTTCCACGTAAGTTCCTACTCTTTTATCGGTTAAAAATTGTGCGGATATCACGTGGATGTGAACGGTGCCTGCTATAATACCATCAACGGTAGACTCGGCAAAGGGATCTAATCGCCGATCTTTCCTTCTCATAAATTCCGGCTTTAATATGTAACCGCAACGTTGATTGTACTCAAATATTCCCAGATTTAATTGCATCGCCAGATCTGTTACAGATAAAATCAGGTTTATTTTGACAACAAATGATAGATAAGATAATAAGTCAGATAAAATCTTATTTACCGAGCGTCTGATAATTTAACGCGACCAACTGACATCCCGCGTTCCAAAATACTTGCGGCATGAAATTACTGGAATCAAATCTCGTTCCCGCTGGGTAAACCCTAGATAGTTGGTGCTTGTTGTAATTCACAAACTCTAGTGGCTTCTCTTTCAAGAGAGTCGTAGCCTGCTTCTCGTCGAAGGATGACATTTCGTACTTGCGATTCTTCTCTGTAAAGTACAAGCGATATGAAAATTTTATTGTCTTTATAACACGAAGAGAATGCATCAATACTCTTCTTGTTAAGATACTTCACGCACTTTCAGCCGATTCGAAGCTATTGAAGTGCACGGGCTGCACATAATTAACTAAAGCTGAAATTTCTGCGCCCGCCTCCGTCTCTTTGGCCGCAGATTTATCTGGCACAACCTTGTCACCTAGTCTCAGTTTGATATCTTCCACGTTAGACTCGTCATCTTCTGTACTTGATTCATCGTCTTCGTCTGAAAACGTCAGCTCATCAAATATGCGTGCTTCTTCCATCGATATATCTACAGCTTCAATTTCCCATTACCAACCTTCATCATCCTGGCCGCTGTCTTTACTGCCTTGCCTTTGTTGCAACATTGGATGGGAAATATCGCCATTTCCAATTTGCTGCTCATTTTCACCATCATCGCCCATTTCACTTTGTGGTATAATATCCGGTGGAGGACCGTTTTCTCCTGCAGCACATGGATTCACCGTTCCATTAGTTTCATTCTCTGGGGTACCTTCAACAGTAACTAAAACTTGCGGTTGTTGTTTCTTCTGATGCTTTTTATGCTTCTTCTTATTTTTAATTATTATTTTGCGTTTTAGTAGCGACGGTGGTGGGAGCTCTTGACCCGACTCTAACTAAAAAGCAAAGAAAAATGTCATTCAATTATCATAATTTTTGTACATAGTAGCTTTCCCATTGAGCGTAACGTCTAAAAATACCTTGTGCGACTCGAGTGGCACATCGAGCAACATTTCCCCGAAAAGGTCTCTGCAGTACTGAGCGATTTTGGCTTGCTGCTTTTGATTGCAGTGATTTTCGAAACTGAGAATGACCGGATAGTCTGACGTTTTAAAAGCGGTGTCAGCTATTGCCTCTATCACATCTCGGGCACATATTTCAGGTACAAATGTATATCTGAGAAAAATTTGTATCTTCAATAACAGATCAATTATATGCCCTCTTAAACATAAATAAAAGATAATTAATATTTGTACCCATGAACAATAACGGGTTCTTCAAATTTCCCATTCCAGAAATCTAATTCAACGCATCGGCAACCGGCTAGAAGACATTGACGATAAATTTCCACTGAACTCTTTCCGGTAAGTTGGTGTCCTGAATAGAGAAAATGTCTTATAACTATCCAAGTTCAATGTACTGCGTACTAAAAGTCATTATAACAATGTTCGTGTGTTACAATAACCTGTTAAATATGTATTGTGACTAGAATTTATAAAATAATGCGGGAGCGATTGATCCATATCGTCGGACAATTCAAATTTGGAGACAGCCACAATCGGGTTGTCTTCGCTCATAAGATATCTCAAGAATCCGTCAAAACTGAGCTGTCCTTTATTTGCATTAGACTTGTTGGGTTCGTACTGATTTATGATATCCTTTGCCCTTGCTTCGTTTGCGTATGGATACAGTATCTCGTTGAGGCGTGGATCTCTCTGCGTATTGTTCAGAAAGTCCACAAATTGCGAAACGGACATTAACTTGCGTTTGCTGCTGCCAATAATTCCCTCGAACACTTTCTCCACGTCTGTTCTCTGAGTGAGAGACTTGTAAAAGTTGAAAAAATCTTCAAATTGGAATTTTGTCAACGGCACGACGTCGCTCTAAGAAATCAACGTTATCGTAATTAGTGAATGTGTGCGGAGTATTTTGGAGTAGACATTTTCAAGGCTGACACACATTTACGATATGGCGCGAAACTCACTTTGCCAGATGGAAAGCCAGAAATATCGAGTGCTTTCTCAACACGCTTGCGATCATCTTTGTTTTGTGCAAACATCTTTATTATACTGCAAAAAAAAAGAAGATTCAAATATAGGTCTTATCCTAGAAAACAATCTCACAGACGACGTTAGAATTGTATTACACAACATCGTACTCACTTTTTTACCGGTATCTTTTCACTCTTATCAGCAGTAAGTGCAAGCTTGGTATGTGCCTTCAATAAGAACATAGTTGTGCTAGTGTTTAATTGAATCAAATTGTACGCCATTTGAAAGAGCTCCTCTGCCCAATGTTGTGCTATTTCTGCACGCGTTGTGCAAAAATTAATGAAACTCATATTGACAAAGTCGGAGCCGTAACAGACTGTTACAGTTTTGTCTTCCAAGGAGTCTTGAGAGCCCATTGTTACGAGAGACCTCAGCTTTGGATCCTACAGGGTAAAATGTTTAATTCACAATAAATATCTGCGGCCTCATCTGCTCTTACGCGAAGCTCAAGATATATAAATAAATTAAGTCCCCAATATAATGCTCCTAGCGCGCCTCAGTGAGCAACAAGCAAAAAGTTTCATACAATGAGCTAAATGCATACAATGCTGCATGCAGAAGTATGTCAGTTCATTCAAAGTTCTGTTTATTGATTTATGGGAAAACTGATCCAGCTAGGCGTGTTATTTCAATGAATACGGAACTGCCTTTATCTACCATTGGTGCAGGCGGTAGTAGGTGTGATAAAAAAAGCAAACTATGTATGGTACGTAAAGTAGGTAATGGTCTATTTATAAATTAGTCAATAATTATTATGTGATGATGCTCTGTGCGTCATTGATATAATTATGGAAAAACCAGAATTCTCTTTGACTATTCGTCTTTGAGTATTTGTAACACAATATTTACTACGTTACCGCCAGTAAAGTTACAGTTTACGGACAAATCGGTATGGCCACATTTTACATTTGCAGGACTGTTTCATACATGATCATTTAATAAAGTACTCGTTGTCATTTTAAACAAAAAAACACACGAATAAAATTAATACCTTTGGCATCTTTGCTTGTTTTCCTGTGCGAGTGTCTCTTATAACTGCTATGTCCAGCATATCCATCTCGTTATTTTGATCCACCCAGTGTAAATAAAAACCATATTTATCCACTTTCAAAGTCACCGGCGTTGCCACCCCGGAATCCTACGATTACATAGCATTTGGTATTATGAAGCATTTATTTTTGCCGCGCGACTATTTGCTGTAATTGCCGGATAATGTTCGCTTTCCGAGCACAGCGTGCCGTGTCTAAGCCTCCGAATAGGAATGCGACACGTTAGTTAATCCACCGTCACGGAATTCCGTTTGCTTTTCTTTTTGACTTTGCTAAACTAGGAGGAAGCACTTTTATGCCTAAAGTGACCTTTTACATTTATACTTTTACTAGCGCTCGACATTAAAACCGTCGACTACGAGCCGTAACATTAAAAATACACACGAACCTCGTCCCACTTGATAAACTTCTCTCCACCTTGCAGCTGCTCGGAAACTTCCACGGGCTTTATGTGCATGGTGATGCCTGTACCCTTATTGCCCGCCATCCTGACACCTTGTTGCCGCAAAACCCGCGCCGTTCAGCACCGAATCCCCCTCACGGACGTAGAGGCGGAGCGACGAGCGACGTGGAGAACGGTGGTAGCGAACACGCGGACGTTGACCACGAGGATGACGGCGACGACGACGACGACGGTAACGGCGGCGGCGGCGGCGACGGCGACGACGACGGCGGCGACTCCAACTCCAGCGGCGGTGGCGGCGACGATAACAGCAACCACGACGGAGACGGCGACGGCGACGGCGACGGCGACGACGGCGACTCCGACGGCGACGGTTCCGACGGCGACGACGTCGACGACATAAGCCTCATCGAGATTTCACGCATTAGGAGCACCTGGATCACCGTGTCCTGGTCGCCGCTGCTGGTACCAAGGCGAGGGCGACTGTCGCCGTCGTCGTCGTCGCGCTGGGCGCACCTCGCGCGTATAAATACACACGTATATCTTAAGGACGTGCACTCGACGCGTCCCCGGGGAGCCTGCGTGGAGGCTCCAACGTCAAGCCCGGTCGCTCGCGGGCCGAGTCTCAGCCGGGTCGCGGCTGGACGAAGGTCAGCCGCGGAGACATTTCACCGACGACGAGCAGGAGCGTGCCGCGATGACGATTGTCCGGAGCACGAATCGGGTGTCCTTAACCGAGAAAGAGAGAGAGAGAACGCGCGCGCGCGCGCGCAGCAGGACTCGCCGCGTGAGAGAGCGAGAAGAGACAGAGAGAAAGAGAGACGGAACGACGACGACGACGACGACGATGGGAAACGCGACTGGTCTCCGCGCGAGCGGTTGCCACGAACACTCTCTCACGCTCTCAGCCGCTCGCTCGCTCGTCGTTGGTCCGACACGGCCGCTCGCTCCGAAGCTGCGGCGGCGGCGGCGTCGGCGGCAGCAGCAGCAGCAGCAGCATCGTCATCCTCCTCTTCCGCGCCGAGTGTCGCGCCCAGTCGCGCCGCACGCCGAAGACAAGCACCGACAGCACCGCGCCGTCCGCGCGCCGTCAACACCAGGAGGCGCTCTACCGGGGCGCGCGAGCCTCACGAGCGGAGCCGACTGCCGCGCGCGCGGTCACCGCTCGCGCTTCGAATTCGTTTCCGCGCCGCGGCGATCACCCGTGGACCCCGCGAGACACCGTGACGGCCCATCGCGCTTTCCCTCCCGCTCGCGCGGCTCAGCGCCGCTGAGTCGTGGCGAGGACGATACGCCTCGCAAGATCAACTTGATCGGCGATCGATTCGATCGGCAAAATTGCTGGCCGTATAATTCGCCGTTCCTCATCTAATGTTATACCTTCCTGCGTTTCCGAGCTTCTTCCCACGGCAGAAGAAAAAATTCGTTCCACGCGTCAACGTGATACACGGACACCCTCCCAGATTAGCACGCATAGTTGTATGAATATTCTTAATTTCAGAATATTCGAATCGAATATTCTATAAATATATATATTGATTATTGCAATTAGAAATCGTATATATTCGTAACAAAGAAGAACGTTTTTAGAACATTCGTCGAGAATGTCTTTGGAATATTCGCTCAGAATAATTTTTTAATATTCATCGAGCTTATGTATTGCACATTGTTTATTGTGTAATACACTTGTCTTATGCAAAAGACGGTAAAACCTGTGATCATACCATATAAAAGTCCCAGTCTACAATAGAGATTTAAGCCCTAAGCCTTAAGAAATTGACTAATCACAGTCGCGCATTCTTCTCATACTTGACCGTGATTGGTCAATTTCTTAAGGCTTAGGGTTTAAATCTCCATTGTAGACTAACCGACACGCTATATTCGATACATTATTCAATTCACACTCGAAAAAGATTTATAGTAATGCCAGTCGAATGTTCTACGAACACAAGACAAATATATAAGAATGACCTATGGAATGTTCCACATATTCTTGAAGAGTATTCTTAAAATGTTCATAGGGGTGTCTTGTGCTATCTGAGCTTCCATTTACGCGGGCTATTTGTTCCACGTGCGATTTTTTTTCCTTACGCGGTTGAGAATCGAGAGCGATGTGAACGGTCTCTGTCTCCGTAAAGAAAAATACGCAAGAGAAAAGCCCGCGTGTGCTGTGAAAATATTTACTTCGCAAAATATATACTTGTACGCGCACAAAAACAATATTAATGAAAGTTGAGAAAAGCAAATTCAAGTCCTATTCGTTGTCGCTGTCTGTCGCGTACCGTACTCCAAAGACTGATTCGAAGTTACTACTCTTCTCGTTAAAAATACTCGGCACTTCTATTTCAGTTTCATTATCAGCTTGTCTCTCTTAAAGATATTTTTTTCTGATCGTGTAAAAAACGGCGTATAAAAAGTGGCGTGTAAATCGAGGGATGAATGTATAGATGTTGATACGAGCTCGATATCGGGCATCAATGGAAGCCAATCGCCCTCCTAAGACCGCCTTGACTCGGAGAAAAATGTTTTCAAGACAATCAAACTTAGTATTCAATTGATCGCATTAACGTGTTTAGTAATTAAGTAAATAGCGTAAAGCGGGGAGCGCATATTTTTGCATAAGTGCATAAGCATGTGCATAACGAATTTGATTGGTCCGTTTCTTTATGCGGTTGCTTATAGACGAATCAAATTCGTTACGCATATGCTTATGCACTTGTGCAAAAGTGTGCTCCCTGCTTAAGGGCCATCGCACACAAAATTGCATAGCTGCATATGCATAGCATAAGAACCGTCTAAACCAACGAGCAACGAGCATTGAATTGTCATATTGATTTACATAACATGCTCATTGGTCCAGATGGTCTTATGCTACGCATATGCAGCTATGCAATTTTGTGTGCGATGGCCCTAAGTGTCTATCCAGACAAACTTGCACAGGTGCAGAAGCATATGCATAAAAATATTGATTGGTCCGTTTCCTTAAGCGTGTATTTATGGTCCAATCAGATTCCTTATGCATACGTTTATGCGTTATGCAAGTTTGTCTAGACTAAGGGAAAACATCTTGTACGTCACCTAATAAGAATATTCTTCAATGTCGCCAGCAGTAATTAACAACGTCAGCGTTTCCTTGACCGTATCCGGCATTTTTAATAATACAAACAATTTATTGCGAAAAATATTACTCATAAATTCGACCACTGAGGCATGTAGGTTGGTGAGACGCCCGCCTAGAGTGTAGGGAAGTCCAGGTTCAAACCCTGGCTGAGATAATATTTTTCGCCATAAATTTTCTGTGTTATTAAAAATGTCGGATATGACCGAGAAAACACTGATCTTGTATGCCAATTCAATCTTAGCATAAAGCATCCTTGCTCTAAGAGACTACGCGAGAGGTTTTTCTTTATAGTTTCAAGCTTGGTATTTATAAGATATTTTTTTGTTAGGGATTTAAAAGCATCAAAAGAATGAAGACTTTCATCTAGAAAAATCTGAGAAAATGACCCCCAAAATTTAGTTTTCAATTTTTTCAAATTAAGGCATTTTTCCTTAGCAGGATAGTAATCCAATTCGAATAAAATTTTTTCATTTTTCTAAATTTCAATACGCGAGTAGTTTGTAATTTCATGAAATCGCCATGTCTCTTATTTCACAGAGTCGATCGGTTTTAGAGACTCGTATGTACAAGAGAGATCTCTCCTTACGAGATTTTTCTCTGGGTATCGAATTTAAACGCTACTTACACCCGTGACATAGATAAAGGAGAGAAATCCCTTCTTACACTTGTCGCCTTTAAACGACCCCGAATCTCACGATTACCAAAGATTACAGTCCTGACATATAGAAACTTTTCTGGAACTTTACAGGAAATTTCTCAAAATTAATCGACAGCGATTCGAATCCATTCTCCGTTCATTCTTTTCCAAATTCAGAGGTTTCCCCGACACTAAAAAAAGAAAGCACTCTCCCTTCGGTTTCGTCTTTCTGGAATTGTTAATCTTTCTGCCGCGGAAAAGGCACGGTTGTTGCGGTATAACGCTCTTCCGTCCCTCTTCCGTTCTCGCGCAAAAAGTGCGACCGCGGACAGAGAACACGGAAGGCTGCTACGCGCGCGAGAGAGGCAAAGAGATTGACCAAACGAGCGTTAACGAGGGCGCGAACAGCGTCGAGAGTTAACGGCACCGGAGGGGTTTGCACGACCCGCTTCGATTATTATCCCCTCGGATACATACGCGCGGGGATCGATTTGCGGTTCTCCGTTCCGCAAATTCCGGGATCCCGCCGCGCGGGGCATCGCGGCGCATCGATTTTGCATTAGTTCCGAGCAATTTGCGCGACGACGCAGCGACGCGGCGGTGAGAATTAAATGGACTCCCGGCCGGCTCGGTTGACCGACTCTCCCTCCAGCCGAGGGTGCGATTTTTCGGGGAATGCGAAATGAAAAAATCCGCGCACGACACGCGCACACACAAACACACACGTCGATATATACATGTACACAATTTATACATATATATACGTCGTAGGCAACAGCTATGTATAATAGATTGCGCTTTGAATTCGATCTAAAAATAAGCGCCGCCCTTCCACGATGAAGGGAGGATGGACTAATCACCTTCACCGCGCCCATTAAATCGATCCAATCTCATCCGACTGCCATTAAACCTGAGTCAACTTGACATGGCAAACACGCGAAATAGAACGGCAATGACGACGGCGGGTCTCGTGTTCCCGTGTACTCTTTCTCGCGTCTGCGATAGCGTCTCTTATCGCCGACTCGGGGTTCATTTCAACGGAGGCGGTCGATAAGAGAAGCCGCGTGATGTAACGCAATCGAAAAATCGCAGGTCGCGGCTCGACTCCCCTAAAAAATATATATACACTTTACAGATCGTCGCATTTGAAGGGGGAGAGGGGTGATAGAGAAAACTCCTCGACGGCCTGAGCCTTCGTGGCAGGATTTTCTCACTCGAGTAAAGTATCCCTGCGTTTAGATCAAAATATAATAAAATGTAATATTAAAATATGACGATTGTATTGCTGCCCTTAAACATGCAATCCCTGCTGTGATACAGACTTTCGTTCTTACTTCTTTAGGACTAGAAACTTACGATCGCTCGCGCGCGTTACGCGCGAACGGACACGATGATATATTTGGTATTTCGTCTGGCATTCACACGGTTCCCATTTATTTCGTTAAACCTTAACGCGATCAACAGTCCGAGGCCTTCAAATCAGGGGAGTTATCAAAAGTGTTGGGTAAACGAGCGAAAAATATTTATCTCAAATTGCTGCCTTGAAATAAATGGAAACCGTTAAGGATAACAGATCGTTCGAAAGTAGTACGCGTGTCCAGCTGGATACTTAAACAATGGATATAATAAAAAAAGAGAGAATCAATAAACAATACTTATTTAAAGAACGTGATGTGCCGTGAATCGGATATATGGAATTAAAATATTCTTATATATCATTAGAATATGTATAACATGATCGCACAATTCTAATATATATATACATATATATTCTTATGCTATATATATTAGAATATATTGTTAGAGTATAACGACATAATATCGTTAGAATATGAGATAACGTAAACAAGATATATAAAAGGGGTTTCTTTGCCTTATCGTTAGTCTCTCTCTCGACATCTTACAATTCTATTATGGTGTCGTCGTTTCTGTTGATTGGATCTCCCTTGAGCAAAGCCACAATCATGCTGAGGAAAAAAAATACACGCGTATATACACAACTCTTCTGTTTTTCTTTTGCCATGTAAAGGCCCGCGTCCACGATGCTAGAACTCGGACCAAGTTCCAGCATCGTGGACACGTTAAGATAAAGTATCTGCACCTACCAATAGAGATAAATGAAAAAGAACACGAGGCAATATCCGAGATGAATCATGCAATCGCGCGTATATCTCTTCAGCTGGCTGCGATTGTGAATCTCCGTGGGATCGTAAACCCCCATGTTGCCACTGGGAACGCTAAAGTATTCGTAAAACAACCATATCGTCATCGGTACGTTCACCAGCGTTAATATCAACTGTCCGTGTATCAACAGAAGGAACACCAGAAACGTGTGTGCTATTAACTTTGGCAACACTCCCTGCAAACGAAAATTGACGACAAATAATTTAATATCACGCATAATGAAAAATGTGCATGCGACGTATCATACCATATTCAATTTGGAACAACATTCTTGCGCATTCAGGTAATCGCACTCAAGATCCGACAGCGTTATAATCTTCACATCTCGGTTAAGGACAATAACAATTTATTCATAACAACAATTAGCAATACTTATTATAAATCCTCTTTTATCGATAAAAGCGCCTCTAAAAGTGGCTTCTAGCTACTTTATTAGCCACTTTTAGTGGCGC